GAGATTAAAGGAAGTTAGAAGTCATTTTTATTAAGTTATTATCACTGCTATGAAAATACAGCTTTTTTTTACAATTCTTAATACATTCAAATTGTATTTCTATACAATACATTACAACAACAACACATCTGATTTTGCATAAAGTCTAAGATGGTGCCTATTTTTCAGAACATACTTCTAAAGATGATTCTCCTTTAAAAACTGTTATATTAGTTGTTTACAGCTGATCAGATCCTAATGAATCATGAATCACACTTCAAAATAACCTGCTTAATTTCACGGAAAAGGTTGAGGAGAATGATTTGGATATCAAAGGAATGGAGATTAATCTGATATAACAATAAATATTCATGAATTCAAGAAGTAATGTAATGAATTGAAACAATTTAACAAGACTGGGTCAGAAATCGGCAATATGGTAACCTTAAAATGGATCTGATTATTGTCGGCCATTTGTATTAGATGGCAGATAATGGTTGTTATCGACCACAATTGAAGTCTGTAATTAGTTCACATCAGTCGCTCAGCTTTACTGATTCTTCCTCCAAGCTAAGAGAGTTAGGTTAATTTTATTGACAATCATTACGCTTTAGATTCTTTGTCAGTTCTACTTCTTTTACTATTATCGATAGATTTTAAAACTTCTAACATTATGTAGGTTAGGCTTACCAGAAGTCATAATGAAATCCTTTCATGAACAGTAAAATGCCTTATTTTGATGCAACTAGTCTTTCATTACATGATTCCTATTTTTTCCCTAGATAAAAGTCATCATATTAGAAATTTAGAAATAGTCGCTAATTGAGATTTAAAGTTATTGAAACAAAACAATGAAGATAGTTATCATGTCGTTGTTACTCAAATTTTTACGCTATGCAATCTGTCTGAAAATCACATAGCATGAAACTCTGAGAAACAACATGTTGTTTTGGTGTTTCTATATCGCTCTTCAATTGATGTGTTGAGCGCTGTTTTAAGAGTGAGAATTTTTTGTTATTGTTAAGTTATCATACGGACAATTTAAAATAATTCTCAAATGAACAAATTGAGTTATGAGTAGGTAACAAAGTAAACTTTATACTGCTATGTAAGATCAATCTGACTCATACACCTTTCATAAAGAAGGATAGCTTCGGATAAACTCAAGGATAGCTTCGGATAAACTCTAGGAAAGTTTTAAATTTAAGCTTACATTGTTTTTTTTTTTAATTTGAAGGATATATAGATAAGATAAAGTGCTATATATATTGTGTGAATGGTAACCTAATTTTCTGTATGATTTATGATATATTGAAGTTGTAATAAAATTGTCTTCTGTTAAAACAATCTTCTGTTAATCTGTTAGATAGATATACAATATATAAAGACAGCTGAAAGTATGTTTATATTT